ACACATAAAATAATACACTCCCCCTTATTAACCCCCGACACACACACACACATAAAATAATACTCTCCCCCTTCTCCCTCATTAATACCTCCACACATATAAAATAATTAAAATAAAACACTCCCTCTTCCCCTTATTAACCCCCCACACACAAATTAATAATACACTCCCCTCCCCGTGAGCCCCCTCACCTGTTCACGGCTTTGCAGGGAGGAGGCTTGAGGAGGGTCGATCCCCGGTTATCTGGGTGTGATTAGTGAGGTCTGCAGACCTCACTAATACATCCCTGTTTTCGGCCGGAGCTCAGAACTGTCAGAGCTCTGGCCGAAGGAAGCCGGAGCTGACAGGAGCAGCTCTGCGGTCTGCATCTGACACAGATGCAGACCGTGGAGCCTCTCCCGCAAGTCAGGTACGCGGTCTGCAATAGCCATCTGCGGGGCCACACAGTACCGGCTCGCGGGCCGCAGTTGGGCCGCGGACCGGTACTTGGAGACCCAAAATGCGAGCGGGCGAGTGGAAATTTTGAGCCCTGCATTACAGTATTGGTTTCTGTTAAACAATCTGAGCGTTTAATGTCACTTTAAGGATTTTGAGAAGATCTGTAAAGAAGAGTGGACCAAAATCCCTCCTGACATATGTGCAAACCTGGCAACCAACTACAAGAAACCTCTTAGCTCTTTGCTTGCCAACAAGGGTTTCTCCATCAAGTACTAAGTCATGTTTTGCTTGGGGATCAAATACTTATTTTACTCACAGAACTGCAACTCAATTTATAACATTTGTATCATGTGTTTTTTCTGGATTTGTGGTTGATATTCTGTCTCTATCATTTAAAATACACCTATGATAAAAATTATAGACCTTTCTATTCTTTGTAAGTGGGCAAACTCTGCAGGTGATCACATAATTATTTTCCTCATTGTAAATACCTGAAATAAATAAATAAATAAGTAAACAAATAAATCAGAAGACTTGCTGAAGAGAATTAGAAATCCCTTGACAAAAAAAAGCACATATATGTGCTCCAAGTGTGTATTTAGCAGCTTGTGTGAAGTTCAGTTTAGGACATTTGTATACACAGTAAATGATGAATGCTATCCGTTAACTGTAAATATTAGTTTTAACATTGGATTATACACTCACAGAGAAATGTATTAGAGACACTATACTAATGCATGGTAGAGCCTCAGTTTGCTTTCAAAACAGTCTCAACAGTCTTTTTGTGGCATAGATTCTACAAGCATTCCTTTGAGTTTTGGGTCCATGGTGACATGATTGCATCACGGAATTTCTACAGATTTGTCAGCTACTCATTCACACTGTATATCTGCTGTTCTACTTAATCTATAAGGTGCTCTATTGGATTCAGTTCTGGTGACTGACCTACCATCTGTTTGCTTTAGTAAACACTGAGATTCATCAGATCAGGCTAATCATACACTGGTGACAACATTTTTCTAGTCTTCATCTGTCCAGTTTTGCACCCACAGCAGCCTCGACTTCTGCTTCTTGGCTGACAGGAGTGGAACTCGGTGTGATCTACTGCTATTGTAGCCCATCTACCTCGAAGTCTGATGTTCTGTGCATTTCGAGATGCTTTTCTGTTCACCATAGCTGTACACAGTGGTTAATTAAATTACCTTAGCCTGGCAGCTCGAACCAACTTGGCCATTCTCTCCTGATCTCTCCCATCAATAAGGCATTTCTATCCCCAAAACTGCTGCTCAGTAGATGGTTTTAATTTTATGCATCATTCTTCAGGTGTAGTTTTCAATTATATTTGTACATGGGTCAGTAACAAGTGTTCATTAAATAGATGTGCTGTGCTTTCTTTTCCTTTTAGCTCAGTGATCTAAAACATATGCAGACAAATCTATTTATGCTCACTGGTTCCTTCTGGTGACATATTATTGCCTTCAACAAAGTTTTGTATACTGGCACATCTTTGTCCTTGACATCTGTGGTGTGAGGTGAATTGCCTTTTTTGACAGCAGCTCTGCATAGAAGAGTCACTAAGTGACAGCATTGGTGCTGCTGGTTTGCCAAGCTGATTTGCCCTGGAAGTGACCAAGGAACTGAAGAAGCTATACATTTTAGATTAAAAATCTAAGTCTAAATGTATAGCTTTTTTAAAATATAAAAATACATACAAAATAATAATAATTCTGTTGCTAATATATTGGCCAATGATCTTTTTTTAGCCCTTGGATTACTCTGGCTTCAATTAGATCAGGTGCAGTTGTAGTCAAAGCTTGGAATATAACTCAGGTCTTCGCTAGTTCATTGAATTGGTTAAACCTGTACATTTCTGGAGGAAACTGAAGCATTCCAACTTGTACTTTTAAAAAGCTAAATGCTTGATACAGTTTTGTTTTCAGTGGGACAAATTGCTGCCCACGTTTATTGCTTCTGCTTATTTGTCACAAAATCCTGCAATCTACTTGAGACAAGTATGGGAGCATCATTACTGACACATAGGTATTTTACTGTTGCAGCCACATATAGGACAACAAATGGCTAAAATACAACATTTCAATCATTTCTCCATAATCTGTACAGTTTTTTCTTTGTATGAAATGTATTTAGGGTAGATTTAGTATAGTGTCTCAAAATGGTGTAAGCAGGAGCGAGCTGACATCAAATGCTTATTACAAGCTTTTATTTAATTATTATTTTTAGCCAATGGAAAGCTAGTTACCAGGCAAGAAAACTTGTGAAATCATGCACTATGTGCGTTTTTGCCTGTTTTTATGGTGCTCACTATTGGGGTCAAAATGTGCGAGATTGGGCCAAAATAAGCTCATGTACTTTTTCAAGCAACAAGCTTCAAGCTTTGCTATGCTCAGGTGTAAAAAGGCACCATTAAATATGATAGAATTCCTATGGTAAGCATTGAAGTAATTATTGTGAAGCTTCAAGTTGGGTTTCAAATAGCTCAAGTGTGAGTGGGGCCTTAACACATGTTGCAATGCACTTTAAGCCACATTCACACCAAAATTGGAAGGTACTTGCAGGTCCATGGAGGGTCCATTGACCTGCGACTGTAACTTCCGATTTCAGTGCGATCCATCGCAGTCTTTTTTTTTTTTTTTCAGACAACCTATAAGTGAAGTAACAAGTCCAGAGTGGACATACTTCGCTGTAAAGTTTTCGATGCATTGTTAGCACGTGTTTTAAGTGCATTGTTTGCACTGAAAAAAGAGGAACATGCTCTACTTTTTTTAAAGAGGAATAGACGGTAATGCAACGCAATGGACCAGTGTGAACTGTCCCATTCACACCCATTCATTTTTCGTTCCCCTTGTAGCATTACCATCCATTAGAAGACAGATTGTAACGCAACGCAATGGATCTGGTGTGAAGGGCCCCTAATGCTTATGCACAGAGCCCATAGAAATCAATGACTTTATGCAGCTGTAGAGTATAAACAGATGCACGAACATATAATGCTCAATCCAGACTGTCAAGTCTACCCACGTACAGCCCCCTATGATTTCTATGGGCAGCTGTATGCAGTACCTATGGATCCGGGGTTGTGATATACCCCCAAACTGAACGTTGTACGGCACCAGGCGCCTGTGTGCATGAGCCCTTAAACTGCACATCAATGTGAATTTATTATGTGTTTAATGATTTATTTTTGTTTATTTATTTGTGTGTTTAGCACGCTAAAGCATGCTAATGTGTGTCATGATGCATGTTGATATATGTCAACATGTATTGAGGTGCATTTTTATTTCAGTGGTAAACGCATAGGCAAAAACACACAGGTATAAATCCAGCCTACAGGCTACAATACATCAGTAGCACAAAATAACAGAATGTACGTCCTTTTAGCTGTCAATCAACGTATCAAAAAAAAACCTCGGCAAGGCTTTTTTATCATACCTGTCTCAAACCTGCTCCGCAACCGCAGTACTATATACAGTATTTTAACTACAGATTCAACCTTGCATGTATTTGCGCATTCTATATCACGTTTGGAAAGCCAGAATTTCAAATTTAAACAAACTGTGCATGGCACTAGAGTAAAACTGTGTGACTTATAAAGCTGCCTGGTAAGAGCTGCAGATGGAGATACAGCTGACAGCTAGTGTTGTCTATTGCCATTAGATACATTAATAAAATGTAGTGCGTCTCACAGGGAACAGAAGACAAACAAACATAGACTTACCTCCTCCTCCTCCCAAGAGTGTATTCTTAGCTAGGAGAGAGAGCAAGGGAGACGGGTTGGAGGGTGGGTGGAAAAAGGAAAGGCAAGGAAAAAATAGGGAAAAAAAAAGAAAAAGGAAAACATTATTAAATGTTAACAGCAAAAAGCATAGAAAGAAATAAACAAAACAAAAAATCACACATTTTGTAATTCTCTTGGTATCTTAGCATGTTTGTTGCCTTTGGGAACAAGATCTCTCGGAAATGTAAAGTGTTGCTGAACAATTAACAGCTAAACGGTCAATTCAGTAAGACTGAAGAAGTCTTTTAGAAGTCTCTTCCCCTGCATCTATTTTTCTCAGCTCATTTACTTGCACCCCCTCTTCCTTTCCAGTGTCTTGAGTGTAATTAGTGAGAGTTCCCGTATTCCCAGGACTGGAGGGCACATCGTTTGTTAGATTAATACAGAGGGCAAAATAAGACAGAGTGACAAGGGAAAGAGGGATCGCAATGTACATGAAAAAGAGGGGAGGTTACAGTCCCCTGCCGATAAAACAGCACTCTTGCTATATATAAATGCCAAAAGAATAAACAGATCTGCAGCACCTGCTCTACCAAGCTCAAAATCTAATACTGTACAGTGTTTAGGGAGTTCCATCCATTTAAAATCTTTAAGGGAAAAAAGCTACCTTCTTGAATAAAATTTTGATCAATTATGCACATAACTGGGCCATATGAAACTACTGCGAAACAGCATCTGAATCTCAAATCCCTATGGCTTCAGCCACTCCCATTTACCAATGGCAGGATTTAGCTCTAGATGGATGCATATGACTCTTAGTTTATTGCAACTTAAAGTCTCTGGCTCAATCACATTTTTCAGGCTTTGGATCCCAAGGGTGCTGTTACATAGCCCCACCTATGTGCCTGCAACATGGAAAACAAGCTGCAGCATGATACAGTTCCCATCTCTCAGAAATGAACATGTCACTAGCCCAGTAAGGATCTGGGGTAGGCGTTGTTTCTATTAATGTTTTGGAATATTTGTACAAAAAAACCCAATCCTTAAATTGTTTCTAAACCCCAAACAAAAATGGAATATAAAAAATATATTAGCAGCTATTTCAGATGTTGATTATTAGGGTTGGGCTAAATGTTCGAGCACTGAACGCCCCAGAAGGCAATGCACCTTGTGAAGCCCTAATTGGCTGAAGGCTTGCACCTGACCACAGGTCAGGTGCAAGACTTTGGGAGAAAACAAAAGAGAAGGGCGCCCACCCTAGTGTAGATAGTTTTTAATGATAAAAATTGAACTGCAGAATAAAAACATACTCACAAAAGTGAAGTGAAGCCTGTGTAACACCACAGGACTCCTTCGATGACGCGTTGTTCTGACGAAAGGGGCGTGGCCCCGGAAACGCGCCATCGAAGGAGTCCTGTGCTGTTACACAGGCGTCTGTGCAGCTGTTTTTAGATGTCATCCAGGCTTGCCTACTATACTTTTACTTTGATTCACTTTTGTGAGTATGTTTTTATTCTGCAGTTCAATTTTTATCATTAAAAACTATCTACACTAGGGTGGGCGCCCTTCTCTTTTGTTTTCTCCCATAGTGTTGCAGCTTCCCAGGCTGAATTGGGGCAGCACCCCTAGTAATCCTCGCTTGCAATTATCCTTCATTTGTTGGTCAACATTTGGCGCTTCAGATTCGCTTTCATTAGGTGCAAGACTTTGCCCAATCAGGGCACAGAGAACAGTGAGAGCCATGATTGGGCAAAGTCATGATGACTGTCCCCAATCATGGCTCACCCTGTTACAACTGTAAACGTTTGGGCGGAGCTAGCTGTCACTTTAAATGATGTTTCCTTGATGCGCCCAATGGAGCCACCCTTGTGTGTGCTGGTAAGCTGTGTGTGTCTCCACAAACACACAGACACATCAAGTCAAGTCACTCCTGTGCTCCCTGCACCTCCATATTCCCTTCTCCAAAACTGCTGAAAACTGCTCTGTCCCTTGTGAGGTTGTACTGTACAGGAAGTTCAGGGAAGCAGAGATGAGAGAGTTGGAGCCAGCTGTTTGTAAATATGATGGCTAAGTGCCTGGGCAAAAATGTAAAGAAAACATTTTTTTGGGTAATGAATATATCTGTTTGAGCTAGATTCATTATTGAAAGTCTGAGAGTTTAATACTATTTTTGGTGTGTAGGCTGCATTAGTTTAAATTTTTTTGGCTTTTTTTCCCTTTATTTTTACCTGGTGATCTAACCAGTAACATACGTCCAGTCCTAGTGTGGCTCCATCCATAATATGGAGGAACGATGAAACCACCCTTGGGCAGCAGTATTGTCACCCTGTGGAGAGGCTAGTGTTAGATGGACTAGAAAATGTAGATGTTGACTCAGCTAACACTTTTTTTTTTTTTAGCAGTAACAGTTTTTTCTTTTAGGGATAAAGCTTTTACATAGATAAATAAAAGCTGACCATTTAACCCCCCCTGTCAGTAGTAAATGGTTTGTCTCAGCCCTCGATCTGCCACTTTTGCTGGACAGTTTGGCCTGTTAGAAGTTGAAACATAACAAACTTACTGGCTGGATGACAAGGTAAAAAAAAGTAAAAAAAAGCCTAAAAAAGGAAATTGAATGCAGCCACCACATTAAAGGATTGGTAAACTGCAATATATTACATTTTTGCTTTGGGTTTAGATATGTTTTAAGAAAAAATGTCAATCCACGAATTACACTGTTAATAGAAATGTTCCCGTTTATCCCTTTGTCAGTATTTCTGTTGCTTTTTAGGTACAAACATAGCAAAGAAAATGTCTGTGATCCTACAGAGCCAAAGATGAAGGGACCTCAAGGTACTGTATATCTAATAAATCTGTCCCATTAAAGAGATTTTCCTCTTAAGCAGCTGTGACCAGAAAAAGTGCCCCCATGGGAAGATTTTACCTCTATTTCTGTTCTGCTCAAAATGTTGGATGTTTCCTCTTTCTCAGTGCAAGTGACAGTGGTCAAGAGGAAAAATAGAGAGAGTAAATCTGCCTAAAGGGGAAACAGACATGAATAAAAACATCAGAGATCTGAAGATAGGTCACCAGCACTCCAAATCCAAAGAAAGTATTGTTTATTGCAAAAACATCACATAGGTCAAAATTGACAAAGGGACAGGTCACTGTGTCGTCTTGAGGAAGGGACCCTGCGTGGCCATGAAATGTTGGCAATTTTAAGCTATGTGACGTTTTTGCAATAAACAATACTTTCTTTGCATTTGGTGTGCTGGTGGTCTATCTTCACATCTCTGAGGTAATTCGCACAGCACCAACCATGATGGTCACTTGAAGCACCTCTTCTGTTTACATTGGTCTCAACGCTGTATGGTGTACAGCAGGCATTTTCAACATTATAGGAATACAAATCTGATAGGAATTTAAAGCTGAACTCTGGGGGGGAAAAGAAAAAACCTCCCTTGCAGTGGAGCACTCCCCACAATACAGTTTGCTAGTTTAGGGATACAGTGCCAGTAAAAATGACTTCTATTTACCTAAATCCTTGTCCTGCAGGCTCCATCTATGCATTAGGACCAGCCCTTGCAGCCTCTTCTCTAAGGCGCTCCGTCAGCCTGTTGTACTCTCATGTCATCAAGTACAGTGCATGGCCAATAGCCCTTCATTGCACAGGAAGACACAGAGGGTTTGCACACAACCCGGAGCACCAGGGAGAGGAAAAGAGCACTAGCTGTTAAGTAAAACTCATTTTTTTCTGGTACCTTGGGCACAACAAAGTATTTAACCCTTGCAGTGTGTGTTCTTTTCCTCTGAGTTCTGTTTTAACTCCCCACTCTATATATATATTTAAAAAAAACAGCTTTGGCTTTAGATACAGTTTAACCCCTTCATGACTGAGGCCCTTTTTTCCATTTTTGCACCCATGTTATATTCCACATTTTAGGCCTGAAAATGACGTAAAACCCCCCAACATTATATATTTTCTGAATGCCAAGACCCTATAGAATAAAATGGTGGTAGTTGAAAATTTTTATGTTGTGCAATATTAGCGCAACTCCTTATTAAACCCCAAAATTTAGTGACAAATTTAATTAAATGCCCCAAAACACAACAAATTACCCATTTTTTTAATGAAATATAAAAGATGAGGTTACAACGAGTAAAACGATACCCAACATGCCCAGTTTACAGATTGCGTGCGACCGTGAAACGGCGAAAAA